ACACACACACACACACACACAGACACACACACACACACACACACACACACACAGAACATGTGAGGCCTCACTATCATTAGACTGAGATAGCTGACTTAATGAGACGTTGCTCTTACCGTAGAAGGTCAGATAGCCAAATGTGGCGGTGAAGAAGTACATGATGAACATGCCCAGGATGGAAACGTTGCCAATGTTCTGCATTCTTCTCTTGGTTGGACTTTAGGGGAACAAGATGGCAGATGTTTGTAGCTGTAGGTTATATTTAAAGATGCAGTTGGACAGGTTGTAAACAAACACCCAGTTTAGACATTTTAGGTGCTCTCAATGGTTTAGATAATCTGAAAAAACTTCCATTGTCTCCTGACTGCTTGTGTTTCTGGACCCATCTGACTTCTTTTTAGCAATGTTGCCGCTTTCCCAGATTTCATTATAACTGACAGAAGTGATGGCAAAAACAACAAAAAGAACACCCAAGTTGTTGTAAAGCAGAATCATCCTTAAACTGGTTTTCACTAACGGCAAGTTGGGGTAGTTTTTTGGGGGTTTTGAGTGCAACTTTAAAAGCAAGAAAGGGTATGCACCAAAGGGTATTCCGTTCTGTCTTTATGTTACTGTCAATAATGTTTTTTCACGTGTGCTGTGGAAGTGCGTGCTGTGTACTGTATGTGAAGAATGTAAGAATCTAATTATTTGTGTGTCTTACTTGCTCAGTTCTGTGTAGATGGGAAGCACTTCAGGGTGACATACAAAAGCAAATGCCAGGATCGGGATGGTATACGCCGTCTGCAAATCAAGTCAGAGGAAATTCACCAGGTTGCTTTCCAGGAAGCGCACGAGCCCTGTCCAGCCGTGTATGCGTAATCTGATGCACCCACAAATAGTTCCTGGTCACACACATGTTCAGAGCACACCGCAGTCCTCTGAACGGAGCTCGTCGTAAATGAACACTTAAAATGCAAATGGTAATTTGTGTGTGCCTTCAGGGAGTTCATCTCTGACCTCTTGGTTGATGGTGAAGAATTTGGTAGCGCATGTGTCCTCTGAGGCGGCTGTGTTCACAGAGTAGTTGCCAAACACTTCCAGAGGGCAAGCAATGTTGAATTTCTTGTAGATGACCTGAAGGAACAGAGAAAGAGAGCTTGAGGAGGGAGAACAAATGCTACCTCTCCTGCCTTTGGTAACAAACCAAGATAAATCTCAGACACAGATGAAGACGCACGTAGTGTTGAAACAGTAGTCAATGCTGACACAAGATTGACCTTGTTCTAAGAGCACCAGACATGCCTGCAGATCCTTGTGAGGTGGTTGAAGCTTTTTAAACCTCTTCATTCAAAACAAGATATATTTTGGTATTATTTGGAATCTTTCCAAAACACATGTTGCTTTAGTTAGTTTAGTTCTCTACATTATCTCTGTGTCTATATCACCTAGCAGCTACTGTAAACCTTCCTAAAGGCAGCACTACAGCAGCTGTTGACGGCAACTCATCCATGTCCAACCAGCTAGAGCCACAAGGATTCAAACCTGGAGACACTGAGGAGAATAAACTGAGACCACACTAGTTGTCATCTGAATTGTCTCATTTTTCTACAAAGAAAAAGTATGCCAACCGAATAACTTGAAAGATTCCATGATCGATTGAGAATTTTCCTGATAAGGACCTTCTATCCATTTCATTTTCATCAGTTGTAGAAGCATTTGAGTCGATTTTGGGGGCAGCATTGACATATTATTCCCTTCATGAAGTTGTTGTTTTGATAGCAAACAGTTGGCTTGTTATGCATCCAGCTGACATAATTACCATTAATTTGGATTTGTGAGGGTCTAATATTCTTATACTCTCCTTTTAGTCTTTGGTCTCCACCAACTCATGAGGGAAATATTTGTTTCTTTAGCTGCTAAATGCTCCACTATGTTCACCAGCTAACAGTGTGCAGTTGGCTGATGAGCAGGTAGAAAGCTACTTGTGAATATTGTGTTATAATACACAGAATCACATTTATAAGTACTTACTTATTTGCATGTAAGAAAATAATTTTGCTTCTTCTCAGTACTGTAGTTTTGGTAATTTACTTTTCTTGAATCAAAACTTTACAATTTGAATTACATTTCATAACATTTGGACATCTAAATACCAGGTAAACAATAAAAGAATAGAAATACATGGTCAGCATGACCTAATAACTCTCACTATGATCTATAACTATAACATAACTATAACATGATATATAAAGTGTTTGAGATTTTAAAGTGTCACGATTGCAACAAGCACACAGTATATACCATGGACCCTAACCATTTCTCAACAACCACCTGTGCCGTGACAACAGCCATAAAGTAATGCACGGTGACAAGACCCACACACTCACCGCAGAGAGGAAGAAGACCATGCAGGACAGAGAGAAGCCACTGGTATAACCAAGATACCCTGCAGGACCCAAGAAGACAACCCTCAGACACATCTCTGCTACAAAAAAACAGCAGAATAGATCTTTTGTCTCCTAACATGACTTTAAAAGAAAAAGTGAACCTTTATTTAGACAGGTAACCTTATTGAGACATAAGGTTAGGGATGGGACATACAATTTTATTGTAATGAAGAAAACTCACAATAAGTTGGTCCTGGTGAATTTTTAGTATCAGGATAAACGTGAACATAGTCACATGAGTGACTTAAAAAAGCTGTCAATCTGTTAGAGATGTTATCGAGCTTGATTTCAACATAAAGAAATGATCATGTAAGAAAGAAAAGACTTGCACATCAATGTAGCTATTTTTTTAATGTAGCGTTATTTCATGCATGGAGACCTTGTGCTTTATGATTTCCTTATTGTTTATTTGTTTTTCACTAAAAGAATGTTCACTAAAAGACGTGTACTATCGGTGATGCAATAAAAGTATTTATAATACTATTTGTTTCTGAACTAAATGGAAGGTCAAGTGATTCCAGTATGTTGTAGTGCCATTTTTTGATGATTATCAAAATAATAACGTGAATCACAATTATTAGGATTATCGATTTTCATATCATCATGTCTACATGGGGTTAAGACACAACAGCAAGACGACACAAAGTGACAGACAGAAAGGACATTCATACAAAGCCAAAGATGTGAAGGTTGTATTAAGTTCAGTTTACATGAGAGAACAGAGGGGTTAAGTTCTCTTGAATAATCAATGGCCTTGTCAAAATCATAACTCTGAGGAATTAGTGAGTATGATCAAACTGAGAGGAAGTGGCATACCCAGGTGTTTCATCAGGGCCAGTGGGAAGATGATGCAGATAGTGACGATGATGATCAGGTAGTTTCCATTCATGAACCAGTCACTGTGCAGGACACAAGACATCACACACATACAGTTCAACATAGATGTAAAAAAGACTCTCAGACTGCATTTAGAGGTCAGTTCTTTACTGAAATGACAATCTGTTCATTTGTCCCGGGGGCAGAAAGTTAAGTACAGCCTTGTGAAGTTGTGATACATTTGCTTTTTAGTAACTCATACACTTCAACAAGTAGCTGCGATGTAAGAGTCATTGTTCACATACTTGCCTTGGTCCATTGAGTTTACTTCTGAGGTTTAAGCAATCTCTTCTTTAGTACAGTGTAAATAGAACTAAAGGTGGCGACACAATAGAAAGTCACCGTATTGTTAGTGCTGAGATAACGACAAGGAATGCAATCTATGATGCCCACTCTCAAGTTGAGTTAAAAACAAGTATATCAGCACGTAAAAATGGTCATATTAGCTTTCTGTACAGCAAAATGCCTCGCAGAGTCAGATCCCAGGTCAGTTCTAATCAATGAAGTCACACTGAGCACAGCAGTCACAAACTGTCAACAGTAAGAGTGATGCTGCAGTTTGTAGTCTGGTAGTTTCATTTTGTATAAAGCAGGGTAATGGCTCTTCTCAATGCCTGAACACAGTGCATTAGTGCTTCTATTGGCTGACCATACAGATTCCCAGGACAAAGCACAAGTGAACTGTGACCCTCCCCCCTTTAACACCGTGAAGGATTCCTACAACATTCAGTTGATTGTTTGGTTTGAGTTCAGTGAAGCAGGGGAAACACAAACTCAGGTCAAAATGATAAAACAACACCAATCTTCAGTGCAGTGATGTCATCATTATATATCAAGTTTTACTCATATATGAGACTTTATTAGGACAACTGAAGGACAATATAATGCACAGTAGACAGTGCAAGCTGACTAAAAACATCTATTTTAGAGCTGTTTTAAAGGAACACAAAGGACATTTTGATAAAAAGATGTGTTTGACTTCCCCTGAGTCAGATAAGAAGAATTATATCAGTTTTCAGATATGAGAATGATACCAGTTTATGCTCCAGAGGACATCCCAAATACATCTCACATGACATGAGTCAAGTCCACCATAAGGGCAGGAGATGCTGCACACAGTCTCTAGGCCGATGGAGATGTTGTTCGGACTGAAATTGCTTTGTCTAACTTAAATATCTATTTCTACACATGTTAAAGGATAAGGCTGATATTCTGTGTTTCTTCTTGTCAACAAATCTCATGTTCAGACTCAACCAACCATGAGCGTATCTACAAACCAGTACCGTGTGTCTATCAAAGCTTGACATGTCTTTTGCCAAAGAGCTCCATTGTCTGAAAGGATCCTTCATCACCATGAACACACGATGTAGTTTATGTTGACTCAGTCCTTCACATACCGTCCTGCTGCAGGAAGTGAAGGGAAGCCTGAGAGCTAGTTCAGACAGTCAAGTCAGCTGCTACATTCATGTGACCTAGTCCTCTCACTGCAACATATATTCAACGCACCCTTTTGATCATGGTGGTGCTCTGCTCACCAATTTGCCGCCACAGCCCTCACCTGAAAGCTTTGTATGCTGTCACCTTCTGCTGCTGTTCATAGTGTTTCCTGAGCCACAACTATACTTCTCACTTGATTTATTACCTCAGTAAACATTGTGTCAAAGTAAAATACGCACGCGGCTGTTTGATTTTCGCCCGCGCATGGATCTCATTTGCACTCTCGGATTTTGACAGTGATTTGCCTTCATATTTACAGTCTATGCTCAAATGTGAGTTGGCTGACTGAACTTGTCACTATAGAACTAAATGTGTGTAGAACCAAATGTGTGCTAGAGATAGTCCCCAATAAATGCATAATTTTCATAGTTTTTTCAAATTAAACTATATATTTGTAAGATGTGAGAGTGACGTACAGAGAAGCGGACACGTTGTTGTTTTTTCTCTTTCATCTTTTATCATGGACCTATCTCTGGAATGGGCACACACAGATGAAACTGATATTGAATGTCATACATTTTGTTGATTTCAAAGATTTTAGCAGTACTCACCCAGTGCTGGATGTCTGGCCAAGAAAGGCTTGGATTACAAGCGGTAACTCAGATTTGACTATGAACAGGTAGCTGGACATGGCTGCAAGGGAGGAAAGCATAGACAGCCTTAAGAAAGAGTTTATTAGTGTACATGGCCACATGTCTTTACATGCTCCATCAAAACTGGGATGTTCTGGCACATCTGGTTCCCTTGGCAAGAGGTATGATCCCCACCTACTCATATGACAGTTACCTTACCTATATACATGTGTCTTACCTCCAATGTTATGTAGCGTGATGATGACAGCTGCTATGATCTTCCCTGGATGACCAAAAGCTCTCAGGCCAAGCTGCTCGTAGGCACGAATACCTGAAGAGAACAATAACAAGGACCCATGTTACCTGACTGACTGCGGACATTCTGACACATGTACAGGACTACTAGCTGAATTGGCCTCTGATACAAGAGAGGGGAAGTGACGAGACAAAAAGAATGGCCCTTTGACAAGTTTAAGATTTCTGACAATATTTTCCACATTTATGAAGCCTCACCCACAACTCCAGCACTGCGTAGGAGCAGATGGACGGAATAACAGGACAGACAGGCGATACATGTCAGCAGGATCCTGTAAAACACAAACAGGTATGGTAGGTAATGTCATGAATGTCATTCCTACATGTTGATTGATTTCAGTATTTTGCGTATTGAACAGCTTTTGGGCTATAGTTTAGAAAAAGCTTATTCTTCTTTGAAGCCTTGGAAATAAGTTCTAAAAGCTGCAGACAGCTGTTACAGTCTGGCTTTTACTGGAGATATGTCGTTTTTAGGGAGCCAAGTAAAAAGGGCGTTTCAGTTGTCCAGCCAGGTTACCACAAATACAGTTCATATATTAGTTTCTCTCTTGCTGCACCCAAATTGAAAGGCTGCATAATTTAGAGTGAACAGTCCCTGCGTGCTTATTATCTCTGCACATGTGAGTATGCATCTCTATACTGCTGCACCAAACTGCACCAGACTGCATAATATTTTGGGTGCTTACTTTTGGCTGCATGCTCAAGTACCTTTCTCAAAACACCTTTTATTGACTGTTTTATACTGCCAATGATTGACTGCTGACGGCTGACTCCTCACTCACTACTCTAATCCGGCCCCCGGCTGGTAGGGGCCACTGATCTACATAGAATAAAATGAGAGCGTATCTTTTGTGTGAAAACACGTCTAATACACTTGCAGTCTAGACGGGGGTTTGACAAATATGGACCCACCTGCGGAGATCTACTGAGTCTACCTTTCTAGTTATTAGACTGTGTTCTTTATCACACACACAGATATGTATACATATATGTATATATATACATATATATATATTCATTCAGGTAGACAGTCTGTACTTCCTACTACAGTAGGTGTCTCCAGAACAACATTTTGTCACGATGACTCACAACAGACTCATAAGGTGAAAACATTACCAGCAGCTGGTAATGAAGAGTCCAGCTTTCTGCATTACAGATTAGAGGCAAATCACCTCACTGTTGTCTATTAACGTTTGATAAAATTTATTGGCCATTCCAGTAACTTCTAATACTTCATAACTATACATGACATAAGCAATAACCAAGTGTTATGTAACATTGACCTTGTCTCCTCTCGTGTGTCTGTTTGTCTACTGAGGTACAGAGTGTGTGTGTTGGTGTGTTGAACTCCCTGTACCGAAATGTGTATATTTCTGGTACTCACAGGAAAAGGACGATGCCGGTGTTGGACATGGCGTACGACAGACCCAGTATGCCGCTGCCCATGATGGCGTTGCTCAGGTTGAAGACGGATATCCCAAAGGAGGTTTTACCCTCAAACTGGAAAACATGCAGGACTAGAATATTAACTTCTAAGACACAATAGCAATAATGACTTCATGTTAGGATGCATATTGTGACATGACATCACAATTCATGTATAGTGTGTAGTGTCAACTCATAAATCATGCTATCATGTCCTCTACAACATCCTTTGACATGCAACTCTTTTATGTTGGCGTTGTATTTTGAGGAGAAATCCGTGCTGTGTTGATTATGTAAACAACAGTTTGGTTTTGTTTAGTTATCTCGCTGCAATAGGTGTACAGTAAAACAACACTTACACACACAATATTAGGTAACGATGGTGGTCTTAGATCAGTACAAAATGTACGAATTGACATGTTAATGACATGGCACATACTAGAATATGACTGAAGTTTACTAAAGTTGAATTCATTGAAAAAGAAAACTGCCCTTAAAGGAACAGTGTGTAACATTTAGGGGGATTAATCAGCAGAAATGGAATATAATATTCATAACTTCATTCATAACTGGCTCTAGTGAGAGCCAAACACGTTTTATGTTATCTAAACATAGGGATGTGTTCCAAAACCCGGTAGGACAGGAGGGCAGAAGACAGGAGGGCAGAAGACAGGGGGACAGAAGACAGGATGGCAGAAGACAGGTGGACAGAAGTCAGGTGGACAGAAGACAGGAGGGCAGAACACAGGTGGACAGAAGTCAGGTGAACAGTAGACAGGAGGGCAGAAGACAGGGGGACAAAAGACAGGTGGACAGAGGACAGGTGGAGTGAAGACAGGAGCACAAAACGCAGGAGGACAGAGGTCAGGTGAACAGGAGGACAGAGGTCAGGTGGACAGAAGACAGGAGGACACAAGGCAGGAGGACAGAAGACAGGATGGCAAAATACAGGACAGAAGACAGGAAGGCGGAAGATAGGTGGACAGACAACAGGTGGACAGAAGACAAGTAGGGAGAACACAGGAGGACACAAGGCAGGAGGACAGAAGACAGGAGGGCAAAAGACAGGACAGAAGACAGGAAGGCAGAAGACAGGAGGACAGAAGGCAGTAGGACAGAAGACAGGTGGACAGAGGACAGGAGGAATGACTGATGACTGATGTCTGTGTTCTTCATTCTTTATAAAATTCACTCCATACATTCACTCCATACACCGGGCCACATGGCCATAAGCCATGTGGCCCGGTGTATGGAGGACATTTCATCCAAACACATTAATCACCATCTGTAGACTAAGATCCAACACTCCTCCACAACAGTTTTAATAGAGTACCTCAGAACATAATGAGAACAAAACTTTTGCAAGTAAAAAATAAATGTGGAATGTTATGAATTCTACTGTGTAAATGAACTGGCCTCTGCCTTTGTCTCATACTCACATCTGTGAACTGAGGTCTCTTTGATCCATCACTCTGCTGCAGGAACTTTTCTTCCTCTGGTGCCATTCTGTAATATCCATCACAAACCAAAAAATAAACACGGCACAACTTGAAAGTATATGAACATGGTTAATTCAGCAAGAATTCACAGCAGTAAACATACCCTCCCTCCACAGGCACAGCAGCGTCATGGTGGTGATTTCCATTCGATAGCTTCTGCAGCTCCATACTTATGACAGGAACATATGTGGACTGATTCCGTCACATAGATGTAATTTTTTTGAAAGGTGAAAATCTGCAAAAGAAGAAACAAAACTCAAGAATTTTCATAACAGCTCATGCAGAATGTTTGCACATTTATCGTGTCATATTGACTGTAGAACACTGACCTCATCAAACTGCTTTAGCTGGAACTAAAATATGTTTTGTGCATATGTATAGCCACTACAGTTAAAAACATTGTGATACATTACTTGGTGGGGACTACTACTGCATATTTTTAGCCCCGCTAAAAACTTTATTTATAAAACCCAAAATCACAAATGGTCTTTACAATCTGTAGAATATAGAACACCATCTATCCGTCCACCCCTGATTTAGATATGGAAAAAAGCAAAAAGCCCTTTAACAGCAATCCTTTAACAAGAAAAATGCTTTTATTTGTCACTGTGTTTACGTATACATTCAACGACTTTGTCTCTGATTTTCTGTTGCTCTCAATGTACACACAGAAATAGACCTAGAGCTAAAAACAACAAAGCTGAAGAACGCTTAAACATTTCACAACTATGCACAGGTATCAATTTCATAAAAAGTAAAAAACAACAACAACACTTTGTAAGCATTATGACAACAGTGCACTATACAACAGGTTGCTTTATATATTACGAAGAAGAAGAAGAAACATTCTTTTATTCGTCCCACAATGGGGAAATTATTCTCTGCATTTGACCCATCCCTGTATACAGGGATGGGTCAAATGCAGAGAATCCCCGCCCATGCAGGCGCCCGGGGAGCAGTGTTTTGCTCAGGGACACTTCGACACAGGACACGTTGCAGCCGAGGATCGAACCGGTGACCGGTTAGCGGACAACCCTCTCTACCCAGTAAGCCATGGTCGCCCCCTAAGATTAAGTTGTATAACTTAGTTCGGGAACAAGGACCCCGCTCCGAACATATCTCATTTCCTCCGCACAAAGTATTTAAGCACAGCTGACTATTGACTTTCTCTTTGAAACGCTTTGAGTTTGGTGTGGAAAGAGGTTTGACAGAGGGAGACGGCGAGCACGAGACAAACATTTATCAGATCAGAAAACAAGTTCAATATTTTGGCTTTGACAACAACTTTTTGGATTTTGGATTTAGCGGACAAAGACCTTGAAAACTCAAACGGAGTATTTATGGGGGAGAAGTGAGCAGAAGGAAGAGGTTGCAAATGTGGTAGGAAATGCTCACCAGAGAATGAAGCATACAGTACAGTGTTGCGAACGCAGCCCTAAGGCTGGCTCCTCCCCCAACCAATTCCCTAATCAGGGCCAGCATATATAATGCAACTGTTGGCATGGCCTCATCGTTTTTGGCCCTTGTCCTGTATCTGTGGTGGCTTGTAGTATTTATAGGTTTACAGAAACTCCATCATTGCTGTGTGAGTGACATATGTACATGTTAGTACCCCATATGCTAACATATACAGTTGTGTGAAAAAGTGTTTGCCCCCTTCCTGATTTCTTATTTTTTTGCATGTTTGTCACACTTAAATGTTTCAGATCATCAAACAAATTTAAATATTAGACAAAGATGCAATTTTTAAATGAAGGTTTTTATTATTAAGGGGGAAAAAAAATCCAAACCTACATGGCCCTGTGTGGAAAAGTGATTGCCCCCCCCTGTTAAAACATAAATTAACTGTGGTTTATCACATCTTTGGAAAGCTGAGTTCAATTTCTCTAGCCACACCCAGGCCTGATTACTGCCACACCTGTTCTCAATCAAGAAATCACTTAAATAGGACCTGCCTGACAAAGTGAGGTAGACCAAAAGATCCTCAAAAGCTAGACATCATGCTGCGATCCAAAGAAATTCAGGAACAAATGAGAAACAAAGTAATTGAGATCTATCAGTCTGGAAAAGGTTACAAAGCCTTTTCTAAAGCTTTGGGACTCCAGCGAACCACAGTGAGAGCCATTATCCACAAATGGCGAAAACATGGAACAGTGGTGAACCTTCCCAGGAGTGGCCGGCCGACCAAAATTACTCCAAGAGCGCAGCGACAACTCATCCAAGAGGTCACAAAAGACCCCAGAACAACATCCAAAGAACTGCAGGCCTCACTTGCCTCAATTAAGGTCAGTGTTCATGACTCCACCATAAGAAAGAGACTGGGCAAAAATGGCCTGCATGGCAGAGTACCAAGACGAAAACCACTGCTGAGCAAAAAGAACATAAAGGCTCGTCTCAGTTTTGCCAGAAAACATCTTGATGATCCCCAAGACTTTTGGGAAAATACTCTGTGGACTGACGAGACAAAAGTTGAACTTTTTGGAAGGTGTATGTCCCATTACATCTGGCGTAAAAGTAACACGGCATTTCAGAAAAGGAACATCATACCAACAGTAAAATATGGTGGTGGTAGTGTGATGGTCTGGGGCTGTTTTGCTGCTTCAGGACCTGGAAGACTTGCTGTGGTAAATGGAACCATGAATTCTGCTGTCTACCAAAAAATCCTGAAGGAGAATGTCCGGCCATCTGTTCGTGACCTCAAGCTGAAGCGCACTTGGGTTCTGCAGCAGGACAATGATCCAAAACACACCAGCAAGTCCACCTCTGAATGGCTTAAGAAAAACAAAATGAAGACTTTGGAGTGGCCTAGTCAAAGTCCCGACCTGAATCCGATTGAGATGCTGTGGCATGACCTTAAAAAGGCGGTTCATGCTTGAAAACCCTCCAATGTGGCTGAATTACAACAATTCTGCAAAGATGAGTGGGCCAAAATTCCTCTACAGCGCTGTAAAAGACTCATTGCCAGTTATCGCAAACGCTTGATTGCAGTTGTTGCTGCTAAGGGTGGCCCAACCAGTTATTAGGTTTAGGGGGCAATCACTTTTTCACACAGGGCCATGTAGGTTTGGATTTTTTCCCCCCTTAATAATAAAAACCTTCATTTAAAAACTGCATTTTGTGTTTACTTGTTATCTTTGTCTAATATTTAAATTTGTTTGATGATCTGAAACATTTAAGTGTGACAAACATGGAAAAAAATAAGAAATCAGGAAGGGGGCAAACACTTTTTCACACAACTGTATGTATGTTAGCATATGGGGTACTAATTAGGCAAAAGTTTCGACACTAGATGTCTATCTGATGATGCAGTAGCTCAATTTAAAAAAGCGATTCCATCTGAATTTAACTCAATACCATGCCTCAATATAACAGAGGACTCCTGTGATAACTTTAGTCCGTCCCAGGTTGATGATCTTGTCGATAGTGCTACAGGCTCCTCTAAAAAAGAATAGTAAAACAAAGGAGGTATAACCCTCAAACCCGCAAAGTAAAGCAAACATCGCGAAAACTTGAAAGAATATGGCGTTCCACTAACTTTGAAGAATCTCGGTTAGTCTGGCGAGACAGTCAAGATATATAAGAAGGCCCTCCGTAATGCTAGAGCAGCCTATTACTCATCATTAATAGAGAAAAAGAAGGACAACCCCAGGTTTCTCTTCAGCACTGTAGCCAGGCTGACAGAATCACAGCTCTGATGTGCCGTGTATTCCTGTAGACCTCAGTAGTAATGACTTCATGAACTTCTTTAATGATAAGATTATAACTATTAGAGAGAACATTAATAATCTACTGCCCTCAACCAGTACCGATCTATCCTCAAATAGCGTAACCTTAGAAACAGCTGTTAACCCTGATATATATTTAGATGGCTTTACTCCAATCGACCTTGACCAATTGACTTCAACAATTTCTTCATCTAAACCTTCTACCTGTCTCTTAGACCCTATACCGACTAGGCTGCTTAAAGAATTGTTACCGTTAGTTAGCACGTCTTTACTAGATATGATCAATCTGTCTTTACCAACAGGCCAGTACCACAGTCCTTCAAAGTAGCTGTAATTAAACCTCTTCTTAAGAAGCCCACTCTTGATCCAGAGGTGTTGGCTAACTATAGACCGATCTCTAACCTTCCCTTCCTCTCTGATCCTTGAAAAAGCAGTTGCGAATCAGTTGTGTGACTTTCTACGTAACAATAGTTTATTTGAGGATTTTCAGTCACAGAGACAGCTCTGGTAAAAATAACTAATGACCTTCTAATTGCATCAGACAAAGGACTTGTCTCTGTTCTTGTCTTGTTAGACCTTAGTGCTGCATTCGACACCATTGATCATTACATCCTGTTGCAGAGACTAGAACATTATATTGGCATCAAAGGAACCGCACTAAACTGGTTTAAGTCCTATTTATCAGATCGATCTCAGTTTGTAAACAATGAAACATCAATGAAGACCAATGTTAGTCATGGAGTTCCACAAGGTTCTGTGCTTGGACCAATCTTTTTCACCTTATATATGCTTCCGGCAATATTATCAGAAAACACTCTATAAACTTTCATTGTTTTGCAGATGACACTCAATTATATCTATCGATCAAACCAGATGAAACCAACCAGCTCACTAAACTTCAAGCATGTCTTAAGGACATAAAAACCTGGATGACCTGCAACTTCCTGATGTTAAACTCGGACAAAACTGAAGTTATACTATTCGGCCCAGAACACCTCCAAAATCAGTTATAATGATATAGTTTCTCTAGATGGCATTGCGCTGGCATCCAGCAGCACCGTAAAGAATCTCAGAGTTTTCTTTGATCAGGATTTGTCTTTTAACTCCCAGATAAAACAAACTTCAAGGACTGCCTTTTTTCACCTACGTAATATTTAAAAAATCAGGCACATCCTGTCTCAAAGCGATGCAGAGAAATTAGTTCATGCATGTGTTACTTCTAGACTAGATTACTGTAATTCCTTATTATCAGGCTGCTCTAAAAGTCTCTTAAATCTCTCCAGCTGATTGAGAATGCTGCAGCTCATGTACTAACAAAAACTAAGAAAAGAGATCATATTACTCCTGTATTAGCTTCTCTACACTAGCTTCCTATAAAATCTAGAATATAATTTAAAATCACTTTACTTACCTACAAAGCCCTAAAGGGTCAGGCACCATCATATCTTAAGGAGCTTATAGTACAACGTTATCCTACTAGAGAGCTGCGCTCCCTAAATTGAGGGTTACTTGTGGTTCCTAGAGTCTTAAAAAGTAGGATGGGAGAGCATTCAGTTATCAAGCTCCTCTTTTGTGGAACCAGCTTCCCGTTTCAGTCCGGGGGGCAGACACACTCACCACATTTAAGAGTAGGCTTAAGACTTTACTTTTTGATAATGCTTATAGTTAGGGCTGACTCAGGTTTAGAGTTAGGGCTGGCTCAGGTTTATAGTTAGGGCTGACTCAGGATTGCCTTGGACCAGCCCCTAGATATGGTGCTATACACTGAAAAAAATGATTCGGCCCCCCTGTAAATGTTACATGTCTTAATCTAGTTTATTTCATCGATTTTAATGTGTAATTGAATCCTACGTATCTTTTTCAATTAATATCAAAATGTACTGCGCTCGTTTAAAATGAGTTAATTCCATTCAAGTAGAAGTAATGAGAAAAAAATATGTACAATTTAATTTCCACATGCTTTCCTGTCGCGCTAGAAATTCAAATTCTGAAGGCGCGGATTTTTTTCACTCTGGGAGATTTCTGTTAGAAGCTCTGCACTGCCGTCTGTCCACAGGTCTCAGTTTTCGGTAAGTAAGCAATTTATAACTTTACGTGTGTTATATTCGTTCTAAAACAGAGTTTAATTTACACTTTAAACAGTGTTTGATAGAAAAAATAATTTAGCTAACACTATCAATTGTGTGTTTGCTACTTTAGCTAACGTTACAACAGCTAACGTTATCTTAGTTGCTACTTTAGCTAACGTTACAAGAGCTAACGTTAGCTTTGTTGCTACCTTAGCTAAGGTTACAAGAGCTAGCCTAGTTGTGGTAACATAATGTGAAGGTGATATGTATGTTAACATTAAGCTAACATGATATTGCTCTCAAGTGGAATGCTAGGTTAATTCAATTTTAGAAGATTTTAGACTGTTTTGTAGCTTGTGGACTTCACAAACATGCATGCAAATGTTAATGGGCTATTTAATGAGTTGTAGACTGGCCATGGTGATTGCCAATGTAACCTCTGTGAGATGTCTCCGGGCTAAATGAATCTCCTGGAGCTGGTCAGACTTGTGGTAACAGCAGGTTTATTCCACATCTGCATTTATGACAAAGGACAACATAGAAGAATGGGTCATCTTGCGGACAACTGCGCATGCTCTGTCTTTCAGTAAATCCTCCGTTGCGTTCAGGATTACCCATTTTGAAATACACTAACACAGTGGTGACATTGATACAGTGATCACAGTGATCGTATAGTGGGTTTAATTTCATGTAAATAAAATAGCCGAAATAGAACATAAATTGTCTCTCTTAATTGTATGAGGAGAATTACAAAAGTATATATAACCAAAAATATATTTATACAGATTTCTCACACTGAACTGTTACCTTTTTTCATTTTATAATAACAATTCTATAACTGAGTAAACATGTAGACTGTAGAAAACACTACATTAGCATGTTTAAAATAGTATCACACTCTATAGAACATACTGTAACATACCTGCATTTATGACAAAGGACAACATAGAAGAATGGGTCATCTTGCGGACAACTGCGCATGCTCTGTCTAGAAAGACGGCATCAAGTTAGTGTTAGCTAACGTTAGCTGTATTGGAGACATTTTTACTAGCAATAAAACACATAAAAAACGTATAGTTAACTTAATAAAAACAGGGCGAATATTATCTAAGACACATAATATTCAACAAAATAAAGCCAGCTCAACCGTTATGTACTTTTAAAGTTAGTTATCATTATATTGTCCACGGACATTCACGGACCCGTTACCTTTCAGTAAATCCTCCGTTGCGTTCAGGATTACCCATAGTCCTTTGCGTCTACCATTCAGTGCAGGTACACATTTACAACAGCAGGTGGCGTACTTTTCCCATTTAGCGGGATTTAACCTGAACCTCTTCAACTATGTTACACCAACTGTATATTCCTGACTGGTTGCAAGTATGTTTTCAAATCTTTTCAGTATGGCAGAATTAGACAAAGCTAAATGTGAAATCAAGTTAGTAAATCGTGCTGAAGATGCTCACACACAATAACTCCTCAGTAAACGGAGAATAGAAAATCTGACATACAAACATTATAAAGTTGATATTGTGAATAACTGTGGTAGCGGACAGTAGCCCTTTTACAGTAATAGCCATGTTTAAATAACCACACAGCCTCCAGATCTAGTTCTGATTTTGCGCATTTACCTTAGATTAATAGGAATATGTTCGACTTGAACACACTGTACACTAATATCCATGCTATCAAAGACTGTCTTGGTTAATCAGGAGGTCAATTTGTGAATGTATCTGTACACAGTGCTCTTTGTCTTCCGTTTTTGCCGTGTAAAACAGATAAATGCAGAATTCCAGCGCATCACAATCCTACTTGAAACTACCTTCATGGTAGGGTTGTCACGATACCAAAATTATGACTTCGATACGATACCTGCCATAAGTATCACGATACCCGATACTTACGATACGATACCAGAATTCGATACAATACCACAAATACAATACCACAAATACAATACGATACTGGTATATTTATCTATAATAGTAATAAATAAAACATCTGTACGGTTCCCTTTTTTACCAGCTTGTTCCTGCCCAGCTTTTTGAACACTTAACAAATGGCATTAATATTAGTATTAGCCTACAGCAAGATTTTAATGAAAACTACATGGTGCCATGATTGCTGCTGACTCTGCTGGCATCTGTCTGACTGTCTGTGGGAGTGGGTGGATAAACAATGCTTAATTTACTTGCATAGTGAGTTTGATATTTTCACTTCATATTTTATCTTAATTCATGGAATAATTATTTTTCCTTAACTAAAAGTAAAAATAATTAGCTCAAGATCCACCCTCAGTCTCCACCAGCATGTAGCCATTTTTGCATCAATTGTGTTTCATTTAGTACACTTTTGTGAGCATTGTGACCTCATGATCATATAGGCTTGTCCTCAAACTAGGCTAAGGCTACTCGTGTTAGCTGTCTATGGGTGAGCTTGGGGGTGTTCATGTTTATAATCACATTTGCTTACCTGTCGTTCTTTGAACTCTTTAAAAAGTTTGGGGTGTCTGTCTGAAAGGTGCTTTGCCATGTTAGACGTGTTGCCTCCCTGTCTGTGTGGCTTTGAAATACTTTTTGCAAACGGGTCTCTGTAGGTCAGTGGGCTTTCCTTCACTGTCTGCAATATAGCCAAAGTACTTCCAGATGATACTTCTGGCATCTTGTTTTTCAACAAGCCGAGGACGGTCGGCAAAAGCTCCTGCCATGTCTCCCCTGCTATCACTGCTGTGAGTGAGCGCTGCCTGTTGCTGTGTGAGCGTTGGGCAGCCCCGCCCCTTGCAGTCAATGCCTGCAGGCAGCATGACAGGGAGCGGAGCAGCGAGTGCGCTCTGATCGCGCGCTATTTTAATAAAGTATCGATACTAAAAATATGCAAAATCGTATCGTTTTTAACGTACAGGTACCGCGGTACCTTTTTAGTATCGATACACCGTGCAACCCTACTTCATGGTGCAGTTGGGCAGCCATTTACCACATCTGACATTCGTTTTCCAGAAGAAGGGGGTGTTTCTGTCCAGAAACTACCCAAACATCTGGCAATCTTTCAAGAGGTAAATATGTGTACACAATGTTGTATACAAATGTTCATATACTCTGAAGTAGTGCTAGGCGGTATACCTGTTTTAATTTCCCGTGTGATATGAATTTTTCACATACCGTCATACCGGTGCATAGCGAAACAACTGCTGTCACTCTTCCACAGGCAGCAAAAGATATTGTTTGTGGCTAACGGTACTACGGTCGGAGCTAGTTGGGTTATCTGTATTGAGAGGTACCCCTAGTCATGGTTATAACTTTATAACAACAATTAATAACCCACAACTAACGCTCTTTAACGGGGTAAAACACCACGACACAACAGTTTATGACAAATAAACAATTTATAACACTAATAATAAAATTACACCACCGAATTGCATGCCGGGTACAGCCCGCAGTTGCTAGCTAGCGAGCCCGCTAGCACAACAGTCTGCTAACAGCTGCGAGAGCCTCCGTCGCTACCGTAACGCTACATTAACGAACAGAAAAGACGACAGACCGGAAATGCACCAATAGTAACGGTGACAGTAACGTTAGCGCGAGTGAAACAGTGAAGCCAAAGGGTCATTTTGAAGGGGATTTTTTAATGCAGCGGAGTTATTCAGACTCCTTTCCAGCATTTACGGCACTTGTTCAGCGGTGCAGGAAAAACACCGACCAATGCGTTGTAAATCACATCACGTGATGCAGCTCAGCCAATCAATAGGCGCATTCTGCCAAGTTTCCTGACTCTAGTGAGATGTATGCACACCCTGACACAAGGGGGAGAGACAAGGAAAGAAATAGCAGAGCAGAGCTGGTAAAATATTAGTTGTGGAAGTCAGATCACTGAATGAGTTCTTAAAAGAGTGGCTATATAATGGCTGTGAAGAACAGAGTCTTAACCTTTCATTAAATTCTTTTGAGAAGTTGAAGATTTAGTTTGCAGCTCGTGATGGTGGGTCTGGCATCCAGACCAGTTGAGAACCATTGCTCTAGTAAGCAAAGTCTTTTTACTTTAAAATGTTTTTATATTCTATGTACCTCTTCTCTGACAGTAGAGTAAGTCACTATAAACCTATATGAAAACACAGTCAAGGAAAGAAAAAATACCGTGAAACCGGTATAATCTTAAAAAATACCGTGATACACATTTTTGGTCATGCCGCCCAGCACTACTCTGAAGCAACTTTATGAAATGCACATAGTAGAATAGTAGAAGAGTCTCAGTTTGAAGACTCTTCTCAAGAGCAGCCTGGAATATTTAGATTTAGAATATAATTTAAAATAGTGCTATCTCCCTACACATTCAGACCTCTGACATTTCATGAAAATAAAGTCACAATTTAAGTAATGTTCTTTAGTTAAAGAGAGCAGTCCATTAAGATAATGTATAATGAAGTCAGTGTATTTTTTAAAGTCACCATAGGTCCTATATATATTCTAGACATTTTTTGTAATTATTGATGTTTTGAGGGATATTTCAACAACTGTAATTCTTTTATACAGGTGACAAGTGCTTTCAACCCTTAAAGGGCTGCCATCCTCTAGGCATCCAACTTGAGGAAGGTGATGGCCATCTCATTCTGAAGTATATGGTAATATGGTAAGTAATTGCATATGCCAGCCACATGTACTGTTGTATTACAGAAAATGTTTTAAGATCCTAATATCACTAATAGTTACAAGTCATTGCGTCAGCACAAAGAACTCAGTTCACACCTGTTAAATAGGTCTAGAAAATGTCTGTGATTTTTAGTAACGAAAACAATGCTGATTTGAGGGTAAAAGAGGAAGGTTAACTACAATAGTAGAGAATCAATATTTATTATAACAACAGGAAGATACCAATGATCTGCTAAACAAGCCTTTTACAAAGACAGATCTTAGCCTATGTCTCAAGAAGCCAAAAGGTCGACATCAGGCAAGGATCAGATTTGTTATCTTATGTTAAGCAATCTAAGGATATATTACTCAAACTATATAATAATGTTTAGGAGGGTGGGAAATTGCCTCAAAGCTGGAAGGAGGCCATTGTAGTCCCGATATGCAAACCCGGCAAATTGTGCACAAACCCAGGGAACTACAAACCCAATATCTTTGACATCAAATATGCAAAATAATGGACGACGGGCAAAATCACAGCGACCATCTTTCACCATTCCAACGCTCCGACAGTCTCTACATATCCCACATTTCCGAGTGGACAGTCTCTCGACTGAAGAACGCAATCATCCAGCGCAACATCCCTTTCCATCAGTCTGATAAAAAAGCAAAACTTTCCAAACTGTTCATGGACTCACAGCATAACCTCACTCTCGCAAGTGGTCATGACGCCGATGACGTCATGAAGCATCCCACGGCCGGAGAAGCCCAGCCATCCACATCAGCCCTTTCAGAGGGCAAGGTGGTATCCCACCCTCTGTCCCAGAGACATCTCACCTTGCAATTTCTTTTCCCCAGACTTCACTATCAACCCATGCACATTCATCCCTCCATCCCAGCATCCTTTCCTGTTCTCTTGCTTTTGCCTTTCATGTCCTACCCACCTCTGACAACTTTGCTCCACACACCTCAACACCGGCTACCTCAACTGCACAGACCTGCCCCAACAACAGGGATCCACGGGATAGTCATTGGCCAAAATCCGTTCATTCCTGCTGTTTCCCCCTCCCTTCCTCCATCCCCCACTAGCGTGCGTTACCCATCCCACCTTAAATGCTCCCCTTTTTCCCACAGCTCCGCCAGCAGCCAGTTCCAGCGTCGTTCTGACTTATTTTACTCCACCTCCCAGTTTCACTTTAGCTACAGTATTACCTCCAGCGCTCCCAGTTGCATCCGCCCAACCATCCCCCGTGTCACATGCTCAAGCAACAGATTCTCACTTGTAACTACATTGGCCTTGCTCAATTAACCTCATAGCCCCCTGCCTTTTCCCTCAGCTCCTAGTAAACAAAGGCCCACCGTTTACTGCAGCCTGCCTCTAGTCCTCCAACCATCCATCACCCCTAAACCAGCCACCACCCAGCCGACCACCTTCGGCCCTCTCCCCAAAGGCGTAGATAGGAAAGATAGACCGGTCCTCTCCCATGGCGTTAGGATGGTTTGCAATAAGTTAGACGACCTAGGATGCAACACCTCTAGCTGCCGATTCCTCCATACCTGCTCCTTCTGCGACGGGGCCTACGGTAGACCAACCTGTCCCCACAATCCAACCAAGCACAGCCTGTGTAAGTATTTCAATACCCCAATTAACGTAAGCGCTCTAGCTTCCGCCTTAAAGAACCACACAGACCGCCAGTTTGTAAGTTTCCTTATACAAGGTTTCACATATGCCTTCCACCCAGGTTTGCAGGTTAAGCCAGAATCCTCCTGTACAAAATTTCCAATCAGCCATCTCAGAGCCCAACACAGTCAATAAGCTATTTTGCCCAGGAAGTCCAAGACACATTCATGATCGGTCCACTCACTAGCCCACCTTTCCCCATATTCTTAGTCAGTCCATTCGGTGTAACTAGTAGGAAATATCACTTATCATAGACCTCTCATCACTGCAGGGCTCCACCAAGCATCAATAGCCTCATTCCAAGCCTGGACGACTCCATGTAGTACACAACAATCGATCACGCTACAGCCCTCATATGCCTCGCAGGTCAAGGAGCCTGGTCGCCTAAGGCAGACGTCACCAGCGTCTTCAAAGTCCTTCCCACTAATGGTGCGTTCACACCAAACGCGGCACGATTTATTCGCGCGAGGAGATTACATACATCTGTCTATGCACAGATGTGATGAGACTGGAGTGATGCAAATTTGCGATGGCGCGGCACGTAACTACTGGTACCTTTTCGGTGTTCTTTGGAAGTGTGCATATTACTCTACCGTGCGTCTGTCCTTCGGGTGTAAGAGCAGCCTGAAAATGTTCGATTGCTTATGCGAAGCACTCTGCTGGATCCTGACAAACGTCCATAAACTTCCATACGTCATCCATCTCTGAGACGAGTTCCTCACTGTCATGCTACCTTCCTCAACCCCAGCACACGGTTTACACACACACGGGGCAGCACAACAAGAAGTAAACACAACACTGACATGTTATTCTCATAAAGCTGATATGTCTGACGTGATAGCAAACAGTTGCCTATTTTTATACATAAGGCAATTATGAAGCTATATCATGATTCATTAGGATTTGTGTTTGTGTCACCTGATGAATGTAAATCCAATAATCTCTCTATTTTAACTCTGATTTAGGTCTCCACCAACTCAGGAAATATCTGTCTCTAGCCGCTAAATGCTCCACTATTTCCACCAGCTAGTCTCTAAATGTTGTAATGGATTGATGTAGGTTTTGCCAGGCAGTTGCTGTCCCCTGTTCCTGAATCTTTTAGTGGTACAGAGTACTGGACCGTACTGGCCTAATTTCCGCCTGGTAATAAGCTTGCTGTACAAATGACCTGTACAGATATTGTCTCAGGGAGGACGGCCTGTGTGGTGAGATGTTGATAGCTGCCTACTGTCCCTTTTTACCCTGCGCCTTCAGGTGGGTGAATTCGGCCCTAGATTTTATTAAATCTAAAACTGGTATGGAATCTACTTCTGGGAACTGCATTATTCAAATTTGGTTTATTTTCAGCGATATATTTCATAATCATTTACAAAAGTCATATAAACATAAAGTAAATATTAAAAATGAATCTATAATTGCTCTTTGCTGATAAAAAATAATACAACTGACCAACAGAAGCGAACATGCCAGAATTGTAATATTCTGGCAACATAGAATTACATTCTGTGTTGTGGGCCACAATATTTCCTAAACTGAGTAAAAAGCAACGTGTCTCTACAGATAAGAGGCCGGAGAGAAGCCAAGTCTGGATGGTTCCAGTTTTAGATATCTCGTCCCTGTAGGTCTCATGAACGACAGACACAGTGATAACAGCTGAGAATGACCTCCCTGTTCAAACACTGCTGAGCTCGTTCCTCAGACGTTGACATTTTGTACAGTAGTCGTCACATGGATTCTATTTGTAAATACTGCCCCTACTCAGAGATGCATTTTACATTTCCATGCACTTTATTGGTATTACTATATTTGTATTCATGTTTCACAGATAGAAATCAAAGATTTATGTTTAAAATTATTATCCTGTCATTTTACAGTTCAGATGGTAGCAATCAGAACAAACCTTCCTTTAGATACCTTTACTCTGGAATGAGGTTTGTGTGCTCAAAATCATCACTTTCAAGATTTCAAATTGAAAACTGACAATAAATTACCAGTAATGTCTTCCATCATGTTAAAAAAGACACTGATTGGCGTTCTGAACTTTTAACTGTGATCACATCACAACGTCTCAACTTGGATGAATGATGAATTTCTGTAGCTCAGCAAATTTCACACATGATCAAAACGTTGTTTAAACCTGCTTTTTATATGGAGTGGATCAGTTTAACCATTGTAAACAGTAAATATGATAAGTGACCTGCTCACCTCATACTATCTACCTCCTTGTGATACAGGTACACCCACCCACCCTGTGCACCAATCAGACTAAAGAGTTTGGTGCCAATTATTTTTGGCCAAAGGCGAATATATATAATTGTAAACAGAAACTTCTATTTTAGACTTGGTGGTATTGCATGTGCTTTCAGTGGGTCATTGGGAATCAAATGTTCAAGCCATATTCATTCAACAAAAAACAGGTCAAACCCTGTGAGTGTAGGATTCTAACTTACAATTTACAACACCGTCCATATGAGGGTTTAACCCAATGTAGCCAGCATGGAAACCAGCCGGTTTAACACACACTACACATTAAAGCTAAAATGATTACATTGAGCTGAATAGATTATAAAGGTTGAGTAAGCAAAGACGCAAAGGAATAGTTTGACATTTTTGGAGTACCCTTGCTTTCTTTTTGAGAGATGTTCAGAATGGACTTTATGCCTGGCTCTGTCCAAAGTTCAAAACTACACTTGCATTGCTTCTAAAGCTCATTGATTCTCATTTGTTTATTCGGCACACAATCAGAAATTTAAATATTAGAGTTTATTACATTTCCATTTGTGTTTCGTGAGTGTGATATCCATCTGAACATCACACTCCTGGAGAGAAAGTGAGTAATTGTTTTTCCCTTAACTGCTGAACTATTTCTTTAAGGAACATGTTTGATTCTCTCTGTTCAACACACTTTTCTGAAATTAAGACTTGTTATTATTCGGAAAACAACATTTTTATACGCTTACAGAAACAGAATCAAACCTTTGACATACACAGCACACAGACACTGTTTTCACCGGGACAGTACAGAGTCTGCCACACAGCGAGGTGAGAGGGAACAGAAAGTGTACAATGTGTGCCAGAGAGAGGCCCTGCCCTGTTTTCCAAGCATGGACTGTGTAGATCTGCAGTTTATATAATACTGTCACCTTTTTCATGTGTCATTTTAAAAAAGTGTGAAGTGTTAAGTGCTTTAATGAATGCATTAAAGCACTTAACCATTATTTATTTTTTCTTCACATATTTCTTACTCTACAAATATCTGAAAATAATTTATACTTAGAAACTAGCATTTACCATTTAAAACCTAAAGTCTCATAAAAATGTCAGAAAATGAAATGGCATACAGTAACAATAATAGACATCCCACTGTCACTGTTCCAAGTATGTTAATACCGCAGTCCCTCTCTGACTTCATTACCATAGTTAAATTGATAATAAATTTGGAAAATAATACTTAACAAAACTGAAATTGTTAATAGATTAGACTTTGAGTAGGTCTACCATGATCTCACTGGAATTGTTTCACATCTGGAGCACAGCTGCTGAACCTGAGCATACAACTACTTTTAAAATCAAAGCCTCTGAGCACTGCTTAACAGAGCTCTGCTCTTCTGCTTCAGGTCCTCACTCTTCCTGGGCAGACCTCCCGCAAGTAGCCAACCCACGTGGCAGCAGAGCGGCTCCACCTCAGCCAGAAGAATGGAGTGAGGGACTTACCAGTACCTCCAGAAGCAGACCCAGATGACTCTGAAGCAGAGGGGGAGCTTGTGTGGTGAAGTCCTGGGATCAGAGGTGTAGTTTGAAATGAGAGAATAGTCACACTGGCCTGTTTTTGGAGCCCAGAGAAGAGAAGCACAGAGCGTCTCGGGGAAAGGTTAGGGAGAGGGGAGCAAATGTGGGAGCAGGCAGTGAGTAGGAGGGCTGCTGAAAATGATGGTTTCAAGTTTCTTGTGATGTCACATGCAGAGACACTCCTCTTCCTCTCCATAAAAAGAAAACAAGTTAACTGTGACTTTCTGCACTAGGCCTCTGCTCTGGTGATGGATTGCTCTGCAGGGAATTCGCCGGGCTCCTATATGGCCATCTCATACACACTGGGCCTATTGAATTGTTTCCATGTTTCAGCTCTTTTCCCACTCCCTGCCTCTGAGTTGTGGTAACAGTGGAAATATGGTGAGGTGATCAGCACAGCATAAGAGCCTGGCTGCTGGTGGCCAGCTCTGTATTAGAAGCAAACTGGAAAAAAGCTAGCTCTATTAGATCAATATGGAAGGTGAATATATAAACCAGCATTCCCATGAAGGGTCCGCAGTGAGCGGAACTGTTTCAAACAACAGATGGTCCAGGACACACACATTCCGTGGTTATTTTGCTGTATTGTTTCCACACAGGAACACACTTTCAGCTGAGTGTGTGTGTGTGTGGAGGTTTGACTGCTCTGTTATAAGATACCAGCACCAGCACATTTACAGGTGCAGAAAGTACTTCTAACCGTGGAGATCAGTGAAATGTTCAATGCAGGACTTAATGGAATATTACTCTACTGTTGAATTAATATATTACAGTAGTGTTTAGCAGTTTGAATGTAGCTCTAGTGAGAGATTGATCTAGATCTAGTATTGATTTAGTAGGTCACTTCCACAAAATAAAACGGGTCAAAATCAAAGAGGCAGAGACACGCACACACGCATACATAATAATAATCTATTTAAAGAAATATTGAATTATTATATGATTATTTATTCATTTATTTTACTTCTGCTTGAATTGTTGTTATAATTATTCATTTATTACGATACTCTTTTTTTCTTCTTCTTTTTGGATGTATTTTCTTTATGTGTATATATATATTTATATATAGTTATTTCTATATATTTTTAGGGATATTTGTGTATATACAGTATTTGTGTATTTATGTGTAGATTTAAATGTGTCCCAGTTTACTAACCTCATCCAACACCCCTCACTCCCTCATTAAACGGATCACACATAAGATGGACACAAACACGCACACACACACACACACACACACACACTCTATACATTTTGCTGGACCTCCGTTTCTCACTCTTGCACTCTAAACCTGTTATTCTCCTTAGTTTGCTTTTGTCCCCTTTGTTTTTGTCCCTGTCTTACTTTATATAATTTATTTAGTTTATGTGTTCATGTACTTGTCTGCACTTGTTTTGTACTCACTTTTCTACAGACAAAAAAACAAAAACAAACATTTTATTTAAGTAGCTGAATATCACAAATCACAATATTTGCATCAGGGGCTCTATGCTCTGTACAACACCTTCTGTCCTTTGACCCTCAATTCAGACAAGTCCCCCAAAAAACCTTTGAACAGAGAAAAAGGGATCCCTCTCCTTGATCGATGGACAGACATACATTAACAGATTAATAAGGACATCTTGTGGTTCAACTCACATTGCTGAATTAAGCTCAGACATTCTGTTGGTTTCATATCATTTCCACATATTGAACAAATAAGTAGGATCAAACACATGCAGACCATGCAGTTTTAAAGTTACAATCAGATGAATCAGATTAATTAAATGCTCAAGACTGCAAGTGTGTGATCTGGGACAGACCCATTCTCCAACTGCTTTCACAGGTTGAGTGTAGTATTTCTCATAACCGGTAAAGTGACCTGATGTGAAACATGGCGGACTGCCACATGAAACAAAATATATTAATTAAATAAAATATATATTTAGGGCCCGAGCACCGACGTAGTCGGAGCGGAGGACCTATTGTTTTTCGATTGTTTATTATTATTATTATTAGGGCCCGAGCACCGACGTAGTCGGAGCGGAGGACCTATTGTTTTTCGATTGTTTATTATTATTATTATTATTATTATTATCGCGTGTCTTTCGTCGCAAAAAGGAGGTGCTTGTGATACAGGAAAACTTTCGAAATTTGGCACGCAAGCCAGAATTTGCGAAAATTGCAGTCAGATTCAGGTGTCCAGCTGCGGTATGAAATATTGGCTCGATAGCGCCCCCTAATTGAGTAGCCCCAACATTGGGTTTCACCTAGATGTATGAAATTTGGTAGGTATGTGGATCGTGATGGGACGCACAAAAAATCCTCTTGGAGTTTTTCAGCAAACCAAACAGGAAGTCGGTCATTTTGAATTTTATGACGTTTTCAGACCATTTCAAGGCGTCATACTTTAACGAACTCCTCCCAGAAATTAGACCCGATTGACTTCAGATTCGGTTAGTATGCTCTTGAGACCTTGGCAGTGAAAAGTTACTCAAAGATCAAAAAGTTATCGAACTATGTATCCGTGGCGGGGCGTCAAAAAAACACCATTCGCCGCGAAACAGGAAGTTGTTGTATCTCGGCCATACATTGTCTAATCTGCTCCAAATCTCTCATATGTCATAACATCCTGAACCGGAACACATCTATATGACAATTTCAAATCATAGTAATAGCGCCACCTAGTGGCAACCGGAAGTTGTAAGTTGTGTACTTTGACATCCTGCTCCTCACATATTAATCAGATCCCTCTCAAATGTTGTCAGAAAAGTCTTAAGACCTTGATAATGCTTCATTGTGAAGATTGTAAGAAGTTATTGAAGGGTGGCGACGTGGCAGCTCGGCGAATTTCGATCCTTCGCCATGAACGAATAAACTGATGTATCTCGACTCCACATCATCAGATCTTTACCAGATTTCACATGTTTGATTAGACTCCAGTCCTGAAGACATCTGCAGGCTAATTTTGAATCATAGTCATAGCGCCACCTACTGGTAACAGGAAGTTAAAGTCTTTATACTTTGGCTTGTTTCTCTTAGTAGGTAAATCAGATCAACATCAAATTAGTTGCACACAAATGTAAGAAGTTCATAATGCCAGTTCATGAAGCTTTTGATGTTTCGTCGAACGCCGTTGCCGTGGCGACACAGTTTTCGCCGTGAAAAACGAAGGTAATTTTGAGAGGCTAAAAATGCTTGAAACATAAGCAAACTTGGCACAGAGATTTAAAGCCCAAAATGTAGTTATATAATATGATTTTACTGGTTCCTCCTAGGGAATTAATCCGATCAGCTTAGAATTTGGTCAGAACAATCTAAAGACCTTAGCAATTAAAACTTAATAAAAGCTTTAGGTTTCATCGAATGACGTGGATATGGTGTGATGGCCATTTTACATGGTTCACCATCATCCATCAAGCTGTTGTAACTCGACTGTATTTTGTCAAAACTGTCCCAAACTTGACTGTGTCTATGTGACCCTGGTAAGGCCTGTGCTTGGCTGATTTACTCGTGCGAGACCTTTTTAGATGGGGGATAGTCCAACGGGAGCCATGTGGGGGTGTTTGATCGTATCCGGGTCTGTTTACTGACTAAAAATCGCAAAATGCAGGGCGAACCCCCCTCTCTACATGGATTGCTCCACCTCACAGAATCGTCTGCCATTTTGTCATTCATTCCGCCAGCGCATTGATCTCACTCACAGGCATGCAGGACAACATGGAGTACACAGCAGCGCCGAAATCGGCTGGAATATATCCGTTTTTTTATCGCCACAACCGTCAAAACGTAAGTTTTTTTACCCATTTTTTTTCTCGTGACATGTGGCTGATGTTGGCATGTATACCCATAACTTTTGAACGGTTTGAAAGAGAGTAATTTGGACGACGCTGATCGTCTCCGGGTCGAATCACGCCCCTCCTACATGTGTCATCCGCCATGTGCGATCCCTGCTTCGTGTCTAGAGATCCATACAGAGGCCATAGTTCGTCGGTTTTTGGCCAAATCTTCTAGATATCGTCCAGATATGATACTAGTTCATGTATAATTGTGTTTGCAGTGTATAAAATAGCTTACATGACGTTGTTACCCATACTTTCTTCCTTAAAACGGTATATTGCATGTGTGTAGCATTCATTATATTCGTTTCTGAAAAGTGCATTTTATGACACACTCTTCACTAAACCGTCTCACTCTGCCCCCAAATGGGGGGTGCTCGTAGTTAAGAGACTTGAGATGTACCCAATGGCCAAATCCCAATGTCCCCCCTAAACCCTCAAACCCTGAACCCTCAAGGACTTACTGACGTCACCTAAGTGGGTGAGTGTGAGAGACTGTGAGGGCTTGAGATGGTGTAAATAGGAATGGGACAGCACTTTGCTGCAACATATCATGTTACCATGAAAACGACAAAAAATATGATGTATAATTGTGTGTATTTATTTTATACTTTGTACTCCCTGATTTGAAAGTATTCCAGACTCTTTCCTCACAAGATGAGATCTAACTTCATATAATCTATTTACTCGTTGTCAAAACGGCTTCAATGATAAAATTAAATATTTGATGAATAAATAAATAAATATCTTCTGATTTCATGTTTATTTTTTGTTCCATCTTTAACCCTTAATGTTTCTGAGTACATTTAATATGAGAGGCTGAACACACGTGAGCCGTCCTCTTTGTTTACCTTTTTTTTTTACGTCTCCAATGCGTCCACTGGTTACCCCGTTTTTAACGTCACATTGCAATGATTTGTGGGTATTTCCCTTAGGCTAAGTCAGCATACCATGCTGTCTTACGGAAAGGGTTCATAAAGGGCTCAAAATGTCTGCGAGAGAGCCTCAAACACTTGACGATTTGACAGTGGGAGAGCCCTAAACCCTCACGGACTTCAAGGGAGTGCGCCTCAAAGTCCGTGAGTCCGTAAGGGGGGACATTGGGATTTGGCCAATGAGTCCATGAGCACACGGCACTTCTTGAACATCACTTCCTGTTACTCTGACTATTTACTCTTCGCTCACTTCCTGTTCAGTTCAGCTTTTCACAATCGCCACTAGGTGCTGCTAAAGGACATATAAAATAACCAATACATTGATTCCAATAAACTATCTATCAGTCAGTCTGTCTATCTGTCTGTCTGTCTCTCTCTCGCTCTCTCTCTCTCTTTCTCTCTCTCTCTCTCTCTCTCTCTCTCTCTCTATATATATATATTT